CTATCTTGCCCTTGTCGTCCATCCGATGAATTGTGACGTCCTGGTCTAGAAGTAAGTGTACCGTTGCCTTCATTACCTCTATCTTCTCTTTGTCGTCCATTACCTGTAAATGTAATTAATATACGTTTTCAGTCAAACGTCTTTGGTTGAGTCGAATTTAAAATAACAATTAATGTGACAGGGGCTTTTATACACCTCTCTATGGCCTGTATGGCAAACATACGTCTGGTGTATCAAATTCAAAGGGCGTTTTTATAGTTTGCAAAAACGGTGAGGACGGGACAGTGAAGCTTGGAATAAAAACGTTCTTATATAGCAAGGTAGAAAGGTCGAAAACTGGGTACTGCGTAAAATAAATGAGGAAATCATTCTGAAGAATGAATGTAAGGGATCGTTAAAGAACATAGAAAGAATATAATGAATATCAGTAATGTAATCTGGAGAAAAAGTATTGAAAGAAATGTAGGTACGTTACCTAGCTGAAGGCAGATGGTTAAACATGTAAATATTATGAAGTCCCACAACTGATTGAATATGAGATTTGTAGACGACTACAGATTGAAGGCTAAGTAAGTACCGTTTTTGGGGATTTATAGAAATCGGTAGTGTAAATTTCCTGAAATAGAGAAAACTTGTACATGACAGGTATTTTAATCTATGTTACCACGGGCTAGAATAAAATTTACAAATTATATTTTCACAGAGTCATTTATTTTTAAGTTAACATTTTGTATTTTTTTTTATAATAGATTAAATCTCAGAAACTAGGTTTACAATTGGAACTTTTAGAATTAAGTTTAGAAGCTACACCAAGTAGCTTCTAAATGATTGCTAATATTAATTTTGTGTGCAAATATTAGGAGCAGTCATATTGGATAACTGGTATAGTCATTTAATTTAAGTTCCATATTATATTATTTGCCTGTTAAAGCCTACACGCGGCGGCCGGCTCTGTTAAACCACACTAAACGCTCTGCAACAACAACAACAACAACAACAATAATATTATTATTATTAGTATTATTATTATTATTATTATTATTATTATTATTATTATTATTATTATTATTACTAATATTATTATTACTAATTATTACTTCACCAAACAAACCGATTCAGCACATCAAGTCAAAATCTGCGACAACAACGCTACAGTCAATCAACTTAAAATATTTCCATTCTACTGTAACCTGCAGACGTATCTACAGAGAAACTTCACCATTATGGCAAACACCATCAATTTTCCAGAGATATGGGAGATAATATCACCCTCTTCCAACAAACTCACTGCGAGACTGAAACTTTTAGCTGGTTGAAGACGGATCTTTCACTGTGAATTTGGACTTCAACTAACGAATAAGACAGTTGTCATTGTTTTTTGCCTGTTAAGTATTTATTATCTATCTATCTATCTATTTATGTATTTTTTAATTTAAATTTTCCACTTTGTATGTTTATATTCATATCAGTATATTCTCCGTAAGTTGAAGTTGAAATAGTTATCACTTCATTAGTCCATGATGATATGCTGTTGAAATATTTTGTATTAATATTTAGTATTTTTCTTGATGTCTCGACCCTTCGTTTGCGCGTATTAATTCTTTTGATTTTGTTTTGAATCGTTATATTCAAAATAGTTGTACATTATTTTTCTGTATATTTGAATAATAAAAGCGACTTTTTAAAAACAAATAATTATGATTATTCTTCTTATTATTATTATCATTATTATTATTATTATTATTATTATTATTATTATTATTATTATTGTTAGAATAATAATAAAAATAATAATAATAATAATAATTTATTATTATTATTATTGAAATATTATTATTTACATTTCCAAGACACCCGAATACCATAGAACTAATTATTTTCATGATAAATATTTATATTTTTTTTATTTATATATTTATTATATTCTTTGTAATAACTTACTTAAATTGCTTGTTGAGTGTGTACATCCTCCTGTTCCTTGTATTGTCTTTTTTTTAAATGTTCGATCCCTCCTGTTTATATAGCCACTTGTCTAGTGTCTAGGGGGTTGTTTTTTCTCGTTTTATTCAAGTAATTGTACTTTATTTTTCTGTATATTTTCATTAAATTTATTTTTGAAAACAATATTTTTTATGATTATTTTCCTTATTGTTGTTATTATTACGGTTATTGTTGTTTATTATTACTACTAATTTTATTATTAGGCCTACTAATATTATTTTCACTAATATTGTTATTTACGTTATTTTACATTATGTCTTACCTTGTAGGGTGCTTACAATCGGTCGTCTAGTTGGGCCCGCAGTGCTATCATCTTGTCCGGAAACCAAAGTTGAACCGATGCACATAAACACGAGGAATAATTCAAAGGAAAACATAGCACAAGACCCCATCTTTAAATATTAATACGTCTTACTGTGAAGGTGAGCTGCCTCAGAATAATGAATATTGGCTAATAACCATTTTATTATATCTCTAACAATACATCAATAAATTCAAAAAGGTTAAAGTGAATAGATAATCGATTTTACCATAGAGATATACATATTGGGTAATATAGCTATTAATCGAAGTTAATGATACAGCAATTCTACAAGCACTGTAGTATAGCATAAATCAATATGACACCTTCTCATCTTAATTTAATCTCAAGTTAAGTTTTCTTTTATTGAACAATATGTATTTTACTAGTTAAAGTTAAGATACAATATTTATTTCACTGTAAAGTTAGATATTTGTACGACACACTTTTTAAGTGCCACCTATGTAAATGGTATAATTTATCCATTCAAGCAACTAATGCAATGAACTGTAAATCAGATCTGAATTCCTTCCCAACTTAAGAGCTCAAAAACATTGGTTAAGGCATCGAATCCCAGTTTTTTCACACTCGCAGATTTCTTTTCTTCATTTATAATGGAACACTGAGCCGGGAAAAACTGTACTGTATACTTATTTAAACGTGTATGTACGGGTGTGTGTGTGTGTGTGTGCGTGTGTGTGTGTATGTACATGTAGGCCTATATATCAAGTTTTCTTTTATTTAACAATATGTAATTTACTGGTTATACGTTAAGATACAATATGTATTCCACTAATTAAGGTAAGATACAATGCATTTCTATAAGATATTTGTACTACGCACTTGTTAAGTGCCACAAATTTAAATAGTAGGCCTATAATTTATCTATTCAAGAAACTAAATGCAATGTATTGTTGGTCGATTACAATGTACCGTATAACGTTGCATATCATTAATCACAGACAAGTATCATATTATTTACATCTCACATTAGTAGTAGTAGTAGTAGTAGTAGTTACCTAGGCCTATTAATAACCCTGGGTGAAGAGAGGCACGGTAGGTGAGTGCCTTCTCTACGACGGCCATACTGGTACGCCTTCGGCCAAAATAGAATTATTCGAACTGATGCTCTTGGATAACATTTTATTACCATTGTTTTACCTTGCGGATATTAATTAAATTGGTCAAGTAAACTTGTTATCGGAGCTTCAGGGACTTTACCCTCTGGATCTCACTGGAGATTCAGGGGGAACTTCAAAGAAAACCTTAGACATGGCTTTGTAGATGCATTGCCAAATTGTATCTCAGCAAATCACATATATGATAATTCAAAACAATGACTCCTTGAATGCAACTTCATTATAATCATAAATATTATACGTGGAACTGTCACGTTGGTGAAGTAGGTTTGGATGTTGGATGTGTATAGACGACACAAGACAACAGCCGATTTTGTGTATAACTGTAATTTATTAAATTGAGTAATCAAGTGAAAAATTCAAAGTTGAAAGTATAAAAACACTTGTTTCGGAAAGAGTATAAAAATAATGGTTGCCCTTTGAGGTGCACTACTATATAAAAACAATAACATACCGTAAATAATAACAATAATAATAATAATAATAACAATACTAAAATAATAATAATAATAATAATAGTAATAATAATAATAATAATAATAATAATACAGTCTGTGGATTGCATAGCAATTAATAATTGCACAACTATTCATGGAACAAAAAGTTGAATGTTTTTGTAATCGATTAGTTATTGACATTGTTTAATGCCAATTTGTAAAGGCTCGCTGTTTTTCCTTTTTTTGTGTGATTTTATTTGTACGGAGTGCCAGTTTTGTTATGTTTTAAAAACTGAATAAAATAAAACATTGCGAAAAAATAATAATAATGATAAAAATAATAAAATAATAATAATAATAATATAATAATAATATTGTTATTATTATTGTCATTATATTATTATTATTATTATTATTATTATTATTATTATTATTATGATTATTATTATTATTATTGATGACAATAATACATTGATATGCACCAAAAGAACCAAAAGAACATGATCTTAAAATTGTTCTTGATAAAAACATACTACCTTCGCTGATGGTTGTATAAACATACTGTTTTACGTTTCTTTGTTTTGAAAAATATGAAGCCTATCATACCGTTTTCAAGAAAATGTAATTGCCAACAATCCGACGCATATTATTGCGAGTGTTGATTTTTGCTACTAAAAAATTTTACTGTTAGCAATGTAATAAATAGGTAGATTTACAAGGCGCAAGTACACAAAGTATCTAAGCGCCAGGTAGAACTAGACAACAGACAAGATGAAAGTAATAATTTAAAAAAAGCAGAATAAAACAAACTAGGTCTTTCCTAGAATATACCAAAATAGAAAACCACAGAAACAGAGTGGATGGAATAAAAACTATTCTGCCCCACCATGACAAAAGGAAGCTACTTACGTTTTCATAGTTTTGAGTAATTACGTACGTTTTCTGGAAATTTTAATTTAATAATCAGTACGGTACCTGATAATACGCGCCAAGGGTAATGATTAATGATAAGTATATAATTTTATTTTATCATAAATAGGAACTGTTAGGCCTATTTACTTTACAAAAACACATTTAGGAATATGTAGACACAAAGATAAGTATAATTTCCCTCGCTCCTACCGTTTTGTCTTCCATTTGATGAACCGCTGCCTCGAGATGGAGGAGATACACGATCACCTCGATCTTCATCTCGTCGTCCATCCGATGAAGTGTGACGTCCTGGTCTAGAAGTAATTGTACTGTCTCCGCCATTACCGTTTTGTCGTCCATTTGATGAGCCGCTGCCTCGAGATGGAGGAAATACACGATCACTTCTATCTTCCACTTGTCGTCCATCCGATGAATTGTGACGTCCTGGTCTAGAAGTAATTGTACCGTTTCCCCCATTACCGTTTTGTCGTCCATTTGATGAACCACTGCCTCGATCTTCCCCATGTCGGTTGTCGGATGAATTGTGACGTCCTGGTCTAGAAGTAATTGTACCGTTGCCCCCATTACCGTTTTGTCGTCCATTTGATGAACCACTGCCTCGATCTTCTCCTCCTCGATCATCCGATGAATTGTGACGTCCTGGTCTAGAATTAATTGTACCGTTTCCTCCATTATTGGTTTGTCGTCCATTTGATGAACCACTTCCTCGATCTTCCCCTTGTCGTTCATCCGATGAATTGTGACGTCCTGGTCTAGAATTAATTGTACCGTTGCCTCCATTATTGTTTTGTCGTCCATTTGATGAACCACTTCCTCGATCTTCCCCTCGTCGTTCATCCGATGAATTGTGACGTCCTGGTCTAGAA